AAGAGTGTAGCTCGCTTTTATAAAGTTAAGAAAATTGCATTTTTTTAATATGAAAGATTTGGGTGTTATAAATGTAAAAAGAAAAGCTTAGAATACGTCGGAATTGGGTGAAATAAGAAAATAAAAAAGCTATTGGATTCCATTATGTGCAGGAAATGGTTGTTGTTTGCCTTTTGATTGTGCTTTTTGCAGGCCAGCAGAATTGTAAGGTAGCACATTCTATGGGATTCATTCTTCATAGCCTCTACGTTAGATGCTTAAATTTTATTCTTAATGCTTATAAGCATACCATTAATGACTAGCGTAATGTCACGTTCCATCATCTTCAAGAATAATTGAAAAGTTAAACACGAGAAAAGAAGATTCTAGAGAAGCCCAGAATATAGAGAGCAATCCAAATGATCTAGAAGATATCACTATATTATTGAAAAAAATAGGGAAAAAAAAGAATATTCTAAGGTATTCTAGAACATTTCACATAATTTTAGAAATAAGCTGAAAGAATCAAGCTTCAAGAGAATTCTATAATATTCTAGAAAGTTATAGAATCATGTATATGTAAAGAATAATGTATAACTATCTAGAAATTGATGTGTTTAATGTAATCTAAAATATTCTCTTAGTCTTGTAGAGGACTATATGTAGGAACGGTTTAGATTCTAAGCATCCAAGCATTCATCCAAGAAAACCTTCCAAGCTTCCAAGTGTTGTAATTCTTTTTTCCTTAATGAAGTGTTCCTTTTTTTAAAACTTCTCCCTAATCTTCTTCTTAGAGTGTTCTGTGCTTACAAGATCAAGGCTGATTTAGTGCCAAGGAAGAGCACTAAAGCCGAGATAAGTTAGTCTGTGATAATTAATATCAGATTCGTGGTTCAAAGAAATGACTAAGAGCATCAAGGAGCATGTAATGGAGTCTGAAGCCACTAATTTTGAATCATCTTAACAAAGGCTAGGTCGTCAGGAGAACCGAAATCCAACTGCATCCAAACCACGTGGGAGGCCCAAGGAGACCTTACACAATATTGATTTGCGCCTTGCTCAGGTGGAGAAGGCAATGAATGTCATGGAGGCCCAGATAGAGGATCTTGGCCAAAAGGTTGATGGACTCGAGGGGTATGAAGCTCCACCTAGAGGAGTCTTTAAGGGACCAAATGGCTAAGATACCAGAGGACTTGATGGGGGAACTCTAGGAGGTACGAAGAGCCCACGAAGATGAGATGAGTGCATACGTGCTAGCTTGGAGTAGATGTGTGGAGACATTTCGTTATGCAAGAGGACACTAGCAACGTCCACCAACCATCATATCTTCGAAGCCAATCGTATGGAAGTGTCAAAACCAAATAGTTTTGAAGGAGCTCGCAGCTTGAAGGAAGTGGAAAATTTCCTATGGGGACTTGAGCAATACTTTGGAGCGATAGGGATTACATATGAAGATGCAAAAAATTAATTTGCAACCCTTTATCTCTCAGACATTGTTATGTTGTGGGGGAGAAAAAGACGAAGATATATTGAGAAAGATATGTGCATCATATCCATCTTTGATGACTTTAAAAAAGTGATTCTATCATGAGAATGCGGAGGATGACACTTAAGTCTGATTGCGAAGGCTTAAACAAGAGGGATTGATTCAGAAATATATTAGGGAGTTCAGAAGCTTGGTTCTTGAAATTCCTGACATGTCTGACAAGGATGCTCTATTCAAGTTCATGGACAAACTCGAACAATTGGCAAAGACTGAGCTTAGAAGGCACAGAATGCAAGATCATGTCGCTGTCATTGCGGTCATTGAAAGCTTAATTGAATACTCAGAAGAGTCCACAAAGCCTAAAGATATGAAGAGTATTTATGTTAAAGGTGGGGAATACAAGGATAAACACAAGGAAGAGACTCGTCAGGAATCAACTTCATACAAGGTAAAAGACAAATGAAAGTCTAATAACAATAAAACCAAATCACATAACAACTGTTTCCTTTATGGAGGACCTCATTGGGCAAGGGATTGCCCTCAGAAGAAGGCTCTAAACTCTCTCATTGCAAGCCATCAGGAGCAATAAGGCGGTGATACAACGACACAAGTAGGGGTTATACAACTATTGAATGCGATGCAAGCTCCAGCTAAACCCTAATTGAAGGGCTCACTCTTTATGGAGATGATAATAGGCGGGAAAGCCACTAGAGCAATAGTGAACTTGGGTGCTTCCCATAACTTCATATATGACGAGGAGCCAAAGAGATTGGGTTTGCATATGACTAAAGGAGGAGGCTCCATCAAGGTGGTCAATTCAGTAGAAAGATAAATTCATGGAATAACGAGAGAGTAAAGACCAATATTGAGGTGAGGTCAATTACATTGGACTTCTGTGTCATTCATGTGGATGATTTTAAAGTTTTTTTATGAATGAAATGTTTAGATCAAGCAAGAGCGTTCTAAATGTCATTCGTCATTAGCATGCACATCATCGAATGGAATCAAGCTTACTTAGTACCGATAACAAGATCTAACAAGCAGGAAGTCAAAGTACTATTAGCCATCTGATCCTGACTTTCTATATAGATGTTTATTGTGATGTTTGCGATCATATGCTTAATTTCCTTCATAATAATTCTTACTTTGCAACAAAGTCAAAAACTTGATCCCAAGCAAAAGCTAGGTAAATTCTTCACTATGAAGCAAATAAGAATAAATTTATAATATTTAAATATGAGATACTACGTAAGTATATGTATCGTTATCAAGTAATATAGGACTTTTTGATTAAGCCTCGAATATCGAACTCACAGGGATATATAATAATATGCAAATTACAAAATAGTAGAAATTAGATAACAAAATTTTACTTAAAAAATATTCTTACTTAAACTCTAGATACTAAAATCGGAATGAAAGTTCGATTTTTTTTGTAAATTTTTTATAATTAAAAATAAAGTAAGCAACTAATTAACTTAACTAAATATTTGCAAAATAAAGACAATTTAAATAAAATATATTTTTCCTTATCATGAATCAATAATAAATATAAAAATTTTGTTGTGAAAGTATTCTAATTGTG